AGATAGATAGATAGATAGATAGATAGATAGATAGATAGATAGATAGACAGACAGACAAAAAAGCCCAGGCTGGCTAATTTGCAATCTTCCTGCATCATCCTTTTGAGTTGCTAGGATTGAAACTGTGAGCCACCAGGCCTAGCTTCTTTTTATTATACTTTATTTCATTTTACTTTACTTATTATTTTAAAATGTGTGTGTGTGTGTGTGTGTGTGTGTGTGTGTGTGTGTGTGTGTGTCTCCAGATGCCAAAGACCAAAAGTATTGGGTCCCTTGGAGCTGGAGTTAGCTCCAAAGGACCCAAATGCCACCAAATTAGCTGCCAAATGCCAGGTATAGGAACCAACATCAGGGCCTCTACAAGAGCAGAGCAAGGGTTTTCTCAGTGAGTTTACATACACTGATATTTTCCCCTTTTCTTGCAGCTGTTCTTCAGTGAAAATATGAAAACTATGCCCACCATCCTATCATAACCCATGCTGCTGCAGTTTCAATTTCTGTTTCTCCCAGGGACAACTGCCAATAAACATGAAAAATGGATGGCATTGTTGTGACTTCCCTCCAACCTCAGCTGACACGTTCATCTTCCCACCAGGCACTGTCCCTCACACCGATCAAAGGCTGATCACAGTGGGTACTCAACAAGTATTTGTTAGACCATCAACATCATCCGGCAGGAATAATGGAGAAAGACAGAGGGAGTTTTCTTTTTTTGGTTTTTTGAGACAGGGTTTCTCTGTGTAGCCTTGGCTGTCCTAGACTCATTTTTGTAGACCAGGCTGGCCTCAAATCCACACAGATCCTCCTGCCTCTGCCTCGATGAGTGCTGGGATTACAGGCTGGCACTGCCACACTCAGCTTTCACTTCTTTCTTTTCAGTAGTTTTTGTTTTATTTTGTTTTGTTTTGTTTTGTTTTGTTTTGTTGTGGTTGTATTGCTATTTTGAGACAGGATCTTTGGCTAGCCTGGAACTCAGTTTGTAGACCAGGCCAGCTTTGAACCCACAGAGATCTTCCAGCCCCTATCTCCCAAGGAATGACTGGCTTTGTAAATTTTTGTTTTGTTTTTTGAGACAGAGTCTCACTATGTAGCCTAGGCTGACCTGGAACTCACTATGTAGACCAGGCTGGCTTTAAAAAGTGATCTTGAGCCAGGTACAGTGACACATGTCTATAATCCCAGTACTCTAGAAGGCAGAGGTAGGTGGATCTCTATGAGTTTGAGGCCAGCCTGGTCTATAAATGAGTCCAGGACAGCCAAGACTATGCAGAGAAACCCTGGGGAAAAAAAATAGAGATCTGTTTTCATTTGCTTCTCAAATGAAGGGATTGAAGGTATGGGCCACCAGCATCCAGGAGAGTGGGCCCCGTGCCTCCCTTGAGCAGCAGAGTAGAGCTGGCCCTGGTGGTATGGATACAATGAGCTGGTTCCAAGGGCATGAGAGTGGGAGAGCTGGCCCTTACTGACTGAGGAATTGGGTGAGCTAGTCTGGGCAGTGCTGGAGAGCTGGCCCTGGTTGGGTGGGTGAAGGAAAGCTGGTAGGCTGACCAACTCAGCTACTCAGTTCCAGGGCTTTGAGAGGGCCCACCCCAACATCTACTTCATCTATGAACTGTTGGAGCTCACGAAGGGCCTGGTCTGCAGAGCCAAAGCTGTGGGATCTCTGGGACTCTGACAGGAGTCCTGGTGAGGACAGAATTGATACTGTAGCAGAAGCAAGAGGCCTGGAACCAGACCAGTGACTCATTGCAATGAACATTTGCAAGCAAAGATATGTGAACAAAAGGGTATTTTTGTGGGACACACTGTGACACAGCTTCCATGATGATATTTTGATATGGTTTGGGTTTTTGTTTGTTTGTTTTTGTTTTGTTTTGTTTCTTTTGGAGGTGAGGTTGCAAGAGCAGAAGGCAGATACAAAGAAGCAGAGAGATGGGTGGGATTGGGGTGCATGGGGTGAAATTCACAATCAATAAAAAATGTTTTTAAAAAAGATGTGGGCCACCATCTCCAATTTTTTGTTTGTTTGTTTGTTTGTTTGTTTGTTTGTTTTGGAGACAGAGTTTCTCTGTGTAGCCTTAGCTGTCCTGCATTTGCTTTGTAGACCAGACTGGCCTCGAACTCAGAGATCTGCCTGCCTTTGCCTCCCTGTGTGCTGGGATTGCTGAGATGTGCCACCATGGCCTGGCCATCCCCAGTTTTTAAAAAAGATTTTTTTTTTAAATTTGATTACTTGGGTGTGGGTATATGCAAACACTAGTCCCCTGGAGTTTAAGAAGTAGACAGTGGTGAGCTGCCCGGTGTGAGTGCTGAGGTTGGATCCAGGGTCTTCTGTGAGAGCAGTTCAGGCTATGATTTGAGTTTTGTTTTGTAACAGTCTTGCTGTGTAGCCCAGGCTGGCCACCACTTAAGGCAATCTCCAGTATTTCCCTCCCAAGTTCAGAGAGCCCTCCATTCTGCCAGGCTTTTGTTTATTGAGACAGGGTCTCACTACATAGCTCTGGCTAGCCTAGAATTCCCTATGTAGCTATCAGGCTATCTTCAGACTTGGGGCAATCCTCTTGTCCCTGCCATATAGGTACTAGAATTAGATTTTGGCCAGTTTGGTCTGTGTCTGGGGGTGTTTTGGTGTTGGCGGCGGTGGTCTTTGTTTTGTTTGCTTTCTGAGCTCTTCGCACTCTGGAGCTCAGGCTGGCGGGGACTCTGTGACTGCCTGTAACCAAGTCCTGGGATTACAGGCATAAACCACATAGCCAACTGGGTCATGTTTTTTTGTAACTTCTGTTTTTGGTTTTGGTACTATGTAGGACAGCCCCAGCCTCAGTTTCCCCTCAAAAACAGCAAAGACAGCCAAGAAGGCTTCCTTAGGAACTGAGTGTTTCTGGATTTTCAACACTAGGGATATTTGGTTTGTTTGCTTTTGTTCTTGCTATCAGAGTCTCCTCAAGCTAACTGTCCCTCTGTGACTTCATTCCCTGTCTCTGGTTCCATTTGCTACTTTGTGACTTCATCAGAGGTGCAGTTTAGCCCATGTGGGTCAGAGGACCCAGAAGCCTGTTTGTTTAGACTTAGCTTTGGAGATGGGTCTAAAACTGAGCTCTCTGCGCCTCATCCTTGGGTGAAAAGCGGAGGTCTACTTCCAGCTGGCTTCTGAACGTAGCGGGTGATGTGCATTTGGCTTCTGGAGCACCTTCAAAGGTAGATGCCAAGGGCGTGCCTGCCGTCATTTCCAGAGTGCCTCTAACGGTTAGTCTAACCCATGGCTGTCCCCCCATCCTCCCAGGCCACACAAAGCAAAGTCCACCCAGCAGTAATACTGCCCCAGCGGCTGGAGCCAGGCCTGGAGAAAAACCCCAAGTTTCAAGGAGAGGAACAGTCATGCATAATGAGGGCCACAACTGCAGCTCAGACCCTAGCCAATATCATCCGGCCTTGTTTTGGCCCCTATGGCTTGCAGAAGTTCCTGGTGAGTGCCACGGGAGAAACAATTTGTACAGGGCATGCAGCTGCCATCCTCAGGGCTCTGGAGCTGGAACATCCAGCTGCCCAGTTTGTTCGAGAAATGGTCCAAACACAGGCAGAGAACGCTGGGGATGGCACAGCCTTTGTAATTCTCCTGACAGAAGCCTTGCTGGAGCAGGCCCAGTACCTTCTCTGGGCTGGTCTAGCCCGAATCCAGCTTCGAGAGGCCTTGGCCACGGCCACTGCAGAAGTCCTGACGGTTCTGCCTTCCCTGGCCATCCGCTCTCTAGGGCCTTTGGAAGACCCTTCCTGGGCCCTCTATTCTACCATAAACACCCACACCCTGTCCAACAAACCGTTCTTAACCAGGCTTGTGTCTCAAGTCTGCTGGGCTAACAGAGAGCCAAATGGCAGATTCAAGCCTGAGCGAATTGGCGTGTGCATGCTACAGGGTGGAACTCTGCTTGACTCCCTAATCCTCCCAGGGTTAGCAATATCTGGGAAGCCCTGTGGACAAAAGACAGAGGTGACAGGTGGTGCCAGGGTGGCCCTGTTCATTTGTCCCTTTGGTCCTACAAATCCACTTACACTGGCCACACCCAGTCTCTCTAACATGGAAGAACTACTAAGATTTCAGAAACAAACCGAACTTGTGGAAAAGGAAATAGAACAACTGGCCGCTATGAACATTAATGTGGCAGTGGTGTGGGGGCAAGTTAATGAGAACACGGTGTTACGTGCTGACATTTATGGCATCATGGTGATTCAAGCCCAGTCCCGGAAGGACATGGTTTACCTGAGTGAGACGCTGGGTACCCCTCTGCTGACCCATCTGCTCCCTCCCCTGGAGCCCGGGAAGTGCCAGAAGGTTTACAAGAAGGAGCTGGTAGACAATGCGGCGGTAGTGTTTGAGTGGCAGCATGAGAATGCACCTTCTCTCACAGTGGTCCTCAGGGGGCCCACCATGCAGGGACTTCGGGGTGCAGAGCAGGCTGTCTACTATGGCATTGATGCATTTTCCCAGTTGTGTCTAGATCCCAGAATGCTGCCGGGAGCTGGTGCCACAGAGGTGGCTCTGGCAAAAATGCTGGCAGACAAAGGAAGCCGACTGGCAGGCCCCAATGGTCTGGCCTTTCTAGCATTTGCTCAGGCCCTGCGCACTCTCCCTAAAACCTTGGCAGAGAATGCAGGCTTAGCTGCCCAACACGTGATGGCAGAAATAAGTGGAATTCACGAAGCTGGGAACTTCCTCGTCGGAGTGGGAACAGACGGGATAATAAATGTGGCTAATGAAGGGGTATGGGACATAATGAGGACCAAAGCCCAAGGACTACAAGCAGTCGCCGAGCTGGTGCAGCAGCTGGTGACTGTGGAGGAGATCATAGTAGCCAAGGAGACTCCTGTCTTCCAAAAGGTCAAAGAACCCACCTCTACCTCAAAGACAAAGGGATCCTCATCCCTGAAAGAAAAATTCTTTGGAAAGTACGAATAGCAACATACTAAATAAAGTATGGATTATCAGAATTACACACTGATCTCCAAAATACAGATGCTCTCCTTGTTTCTGTCTCTCATGTCTGGGACTTCTATAGCTGCTTTCCTTCCCTTTCTTTTTCTTTTCTTTTTCCTTCCTTCCTTCCTTCCTTCCTTCCTTCCTTCCTTCCTTCCTTCCTTTCTTTCTTTCTTTCTTTCTTGTTTTTGTTTTTGAGGCAGAATTTCTCTGTGTAGCAGCCTTGGCTGTCCTGAAACAAGCCTCGTAGACCAGGTCAGCCTAGAAAGTCAGAGATCTGCCTGCCTCTGCCTCCCAGAGTGCTGGGATCAAAGGCATGCACCACACCTTCTGGAGCCAGTTTCTTTTTATTATTATTATTTTTATCATATATTATTATTATTATCATTTGTTACACTATATTAAATTTGTATCCTGGCTGTGGTCCCCTCCCTCATCTCCTCCCAATCCCACCCTTCTTCCCTTTACCCCTATGCCCCTCCCCTAGTCCATTGATAGAGGAGGTCCCCCTTCCCTGCTATTTGACCCTAGCCTATCAAGTCTCATCAGGACTGGTTGCATAGTCTTCCTCTGTGGCCTGGCAAGGCTGCACGCTCACACACACACACACACACACACACACACACACACACACACCCCACACTCCAGGGCGGTGATCAGACAGCCTGCTACTGAGTTCATGCCAGAGAAAGTCCCTGTCCCCTTACTAGGGAACACACTTGGAGACTGAGTCTACGGGCTACATCTGAGACAGAGTTTAGGTCCTTCCCATGCATTGTCCTTGATTGGGGCATTATTCTCTTCAGGGTGCCTGGGGCTCAGTTTTTATGGCTCTGTTGATCTCCTTTTGGAGCTCCTGTCCCTCCAGGTCTTTCTATCTCCCCCTTCTTACATAAGATTCCCTTCACTCTGCCCACTTTGGCTATGAGTCTCAGCCTCTGCTTCGATACCTCAATCAGTACAATCTTTCAGAGGCCCTCTGTGGTAGGCCTGGAACCAGTTAAAGATTTATTTTTGTGTATGTGGGATGTGTTGATGTGTGGGTATGGATATGTGCATATGTGTGCAGAAGGTACCCACAGAGGTCAGAAGAATATTTCAGATCCCCTAGAGCTGGAGTTATAGTCAGTTGTGAGAGACAATGTGGTACTGGGAATGGAACCCAGGTCCTCTGGAAGAGCAACCGGTGCTCTTAACCGCTGACCTGTCTCTGCAGCACATGAAATCAGGCTGCAGAACAACAAAGCTGTGTGGGGTGGTGCAGGCCTGTACTCCCAGGGAGTACAGAAGGGAGGTGGGCACAGAAGGACAAGCAGTTCAACCTGAGATTCAGCTATACAGTAAGTTCAAGGTCAGTTTGGGCTTTGTAGGTAAAACCTGTTCAAACAAACAAACAAACAAACAAACAAACAGGTAGAAATGGGACTTGGTTTAGTTGTTACCATGCTGGCCTAACATGCAGAATGCCCTAAGCCCCTGCACCACCTACAAACACCTGGAATTCCAGCACTTGGGAGTTAGAGGCAGGAAGAGCACAAGTTCAAGGTCACCTTCAGCTATGCAGTAAGCATGAGGATAGCTTTGCTCTGTAGGACCTTGTCTCAGATGAGATGAAAGGAGAAGAGAGATACTTTTTAGTAACTTAGCTCCATTCCAAGTCTTTTTTCTTTTCTTTTTTTTTTTTTTGGTGGTGGTGGTGGTGGGGTTGACAGGTTTCTCTGTGTAGGCCTGGCTGTTCTGAAACTCACTCTGTAGACCAGGCTGGCCTGGATCTCACAGAGATCTGCCTGCCTTTGCCTCCTGAGTGCTATGATTAATGGCATGTGCCACCACTGCCAGGCCCACTCCAAGTCTTGACTTTTCTATATCCTGTTTCTTTCCATCACTCCTGTTTCTACAATAACAGTAGATGCAAAGGTACAGTTATTATAGAATTTTAAATTGAATACCTAAACTTTGGGGTGGAAAAAAAAAGTACAGCATCTTTTCTCAGCTCTTAATATCCCTTCTAGACAGCACTTATAACACTCTAAAAGCACCAGTCCCAATGTAGAAGGATGGCCAGTCATTCTCCAATTATCCAAAGAAAAAGAACAACATCATTTTGAGATGGAAAAAAAAAATTAAAAACCAATGTAGGAAAAGAAGCCATAAGCAAACAAATTTAAGTTGTATTTTTATTGGTTTGGTTTATTTCTTATTTTTATTTAATTTTTTCTTATTTATTTATTGGCTTGGTTGTTTATTATTTACTTACTTATTTTGGTTTTTTTTTTTTTTTGACAGGGTTTCTCTCTGTAGCCTTGGCTGTCCTGGACTAGATTTGTAGACCAAGATAGCCTGAAACTCACAGAGATCCGCCTGCCTCTGCCTTTTGAGTGCTGGGATTAAACGTGTGCATCTCCAGGCCTGGCTCCTAGCACAAACCTTTAATCCAAGAGTTTTCAGTACACAGGAGTTAATAAAATTAACCCTAGGTCAAGAGCAAGTACCCCACTGACAGGGATTAACAGAAAGGAGGGCTTTTGAGAGAAGGGTATTTAAGACAGCATAAAGAAGGGGGAGCTTTGAGTTCTTTGGCTCTTTAGCTCTTTGGCTTTTAGCCTTCCAGCTTTCTCCTCCTGGGCTGTTGGGTGAGCTAGCAGGCAGGCCTTTTCCTCCTGGGCTGTCAGCTGAGCTAGCAAGCTTTTGGCCTTGAGCTCTTTGGCTTTTAGTTCTTGGCTTTTTCTAAGCTGAGTAGGAAGGTCAGCTGGGTGCTTTCTCTGCCTCTCTGAGCTTGTAAGTTTTCACCCCAGCATCTGGCTCCGTAGTCTTTGTTGGTAAATTGAATGGTTTGGGATTTTCCTTCATTATAACAACAGCCATGTGTCTTTTTTTTTTTTTTTCCTTCTCTTTGCACCTCTTTCTGAGCCCTTATGCATATATTTAAAGTCTACATTAAAACATACTTACAATGAGAAACCATGACAGAGAGATGACTCAGCAGTTAAGAGCACTGGCTGCTCTTGCAGAGGACCTGGGTTTAATTCCCAGCATCCATTTGGCAGCTCACAAACATCTGTAACTCCATTTCCCAGGGCTCCAACATCCTCTTCTGGCTTCTGTGAGGACCAGGCAAACATATGGCACACAGATTTATTTATTTATTTTTGGAAAGAAACCCATTCCCTTACCTACCATTATATTACCCAAATCATAAGTACCTCTATCATGGACATTATCAGAGACATATATATCCCTGTGACTGGGGACAAAATTAATTTCAAAATGGTCCTTTGAAACTTTTCAGGGTGGCAGACAAGACAGCTCATCAAATAAAGATATTTGCTGCTAAGCTAACAACATGAGTTTCATTCCTGGGATTGACACAGTGGTAGGAGAGAATTGACTCTCCTAAGTGTCCTCGAATTTCCACATGCATGCCTCATGCACACACATGCCAAAATGAAAACATATGGGGATGTGCAACGGTGTCTGAGGTCATCCTTGACTCCACAAGTCTGAGGCCAGCTTGTACTACCAGATGTTGGGGGATGGTCTTGTGTACCCTGTATTCAGACTTCTGTGCCCTGACACCTGGTTACAGTCCTGAGCAGAGTCGTGAACACTGAAGAATCTCTTGTATCGATGTGTGAACATTGCCCCCAATTATCTCTGGCTTTTAAAGAAGCAGATTTATCCAATAACTGGGCATAGGAGACAGAAGGTAGGGGGCCGGTCTCAGGTAGAGGGAGAAGGGAGGAAGAAGGCACCATGAGGAGTTTGCTATGAGGACAGAGGGTTATAACAGAAAGCCAAGGCAAGATTTAGATAGCAAATAAAACAGCACATGGCTGGGAGGTAGCCTGACTAGAATAACTGGGTTAGAATATATGACTATTCTAGAATAGAATATCTGCGCAGTTACAGAGCTTAAAGCTTGTTAAATAAATCCAATAGGTCTCTGTGCCATTATTTGGGACCTAGACAGGTAGCACAAAAGTTCCTATTAACACCTTAATTCCCTATCTCAAACTTTTTCTTAATTAAAATATTTCAGCTGTGCTGGGCAGGGGTGGCATGCACCTTTAATCCCAGCATCCAGGAGGCAGAGGCAATCGGATCTCTGTGAGTTCAAGGCCAGCCTGGTCTACAAAGCAAGTTCCTGTCTCTGGCTCCTGAGTGCTGAGATTAAAAGCATGCACCATCACTGTCTAGTCATACAATATATTCTGATTATGGTTTCCCTTTCCCAGTCCAAACTGTTTTTCAAGATAGGGTCTTGAAAAAAAATTTTTATCTGCTAAAAGACATCATTTGGACCAGTGAGATGGTTCAGCAGGTAAAGATTCTTCTGCCTAATGACCTGAGTTCTACATGTAGAACCCACAAGATAGAAGGAGAGAACTGACTCCCACAAATTGACCTTTGAGCACCAGGTACTTGCTATGGCAGGTGTATACACACACACACACACACACACACACACACACACACACACGAGTAGAAAAAGCCATGATTATGCTGTAACAATATAAAGATATTTCCTCATTTTGGTTATAAATCTAAGATTCCAGAGAAAGGGATTACAGGCATGCAACACCTATACAAGGCTATAAATCTTCAGACACCCAGACATAGTTGTGAGAACACAAATTTTCCCCTAGGGACAGTGATATCACACAACATCAAGGGTGGCAGGAAGCCAGGTAGCTCCAGACAGGGCCCAAGGAAGCAATAGCTGTAACTCAGACCTACCCTCCTTCCACTCCCACTCCCACTCAAGGCTCCTGGAATGGACCCCAGGCACTACCCCCTGGCAGTGCCCCTGTGTATCTCAGGTTCTTTTAGCCTGGGCTGATGGCCATTTCTGTCTGGCAGCCTTCCACCTGAGCTCTCTCTCTGCCTCATGCTTGAGCTGAGAACCTGGAGTATAAACACCAGTTACCAGTGAGGACTGAGCTGTCCCTGGTGTCAACCCACAAAGCTGATGGACAACTTAG